AACTTCTTAGAAGTTGGAGATCATAAATAAGTATTTAAAGATATCTGAAATCTATTTAGTTCCACAGATTCCTCTCTATTACCCGCCTCTGTGCCACACACATACATGCAGAGGCAGAGCTTGGTGGCCCCATAAAAACTCAATATTGACCCTAAGGCCCTCTGAAAATCCGCTTTGAAATCTTGGTTTTATTTTCTTCAAGTTTTTAATGGGTAAAGTTCATATTCACAAGTATTTAAAAGGTGTGGATCAGCACCTTATTTGTGGTGTTATTTAAAGTCCTTCATGTTCTCAAATCTGCTGAGGTTTTTTTCTTTTTTTTTTTTTTCTTTTTATTAGGATAATTACAGTGGATTTTTTTTTTTTTTAATAATCAAAAAGTATTTCTTTGTCCTTATGTCTAAATCTTGAAAATTCCCAGGAGGGAAATTTTCACATTCTGGAGTTTAGGACAGAGTTTTGCAAGACGCCTACTGTGTTTGGCTATTTCCATCTTAATAAGAAGGGCTTTATGTCTACTAAACCACTTTTTCTATGTCTTTATGGAATTGGGCAGTGCCCAGTCCCATAAAAAGCCATTATACCATGGCTGCAGCAGCAGCATTTCTACAGGTCAACTACGTGATGCAGTTTGTAGTCACATGTAAAAGAAGTTAAAAATTGAGTATAGAAACTTCAGGACAAGCAACTTTTCTTAGAAGTGAAGAAAATCTGTAATTGGCTGGGTTTATTTATGTGATTTAACTGCAGTGTTTTTTTCACAGTCACTCAGACATCTCACAGAATAAGAAGATAAGGACAAAATTACCTACCTGGAACTGTGAATTACTTCAGTGTTTTTTGAATCACTGTTGAAATGCTTTGGAATGTATTTGTGTTTAGTGTAAATTGTTGCTTTATGTTCAGCATAGCATCCTGAAGCTTTATATTTGTAGGTTTAAAGGTGGGGGTTTTTTTCCCTGTCATTTAATAGTTTCTTGTATTTATACTATTTTTATCCTGAATATTTCCATAATAACTTAAGGGAGAAAAAAGGATTTTATGATGTTATTTCAGAGCTGGGGAGTGGTAGTCAGGTAGAATTGGGTAGCTTGGTGGTTCTTTTCACACCTATCACACCTCAAAACTCTTCAGTGCTTAAAAAAAAACTAAGCTGAGTAGCATAGATACCTACCAATGTTGCTGATGCTATAGGAACAGCTTAACTTTCAGCAATACTGAAGAGATTTTAAACTCATAATAAAATAAATTTTTGTCTGAATACTTAAAAGATTTCTGAGGTGTTCGGAACTTCTCAGTAGAAATTAGAGGAGTTAATATGAAAAAAAGATCATACAAGTGGAACTCTTCTTCAGCAATTTCATATTCACTTTATAGTGCACAGAAGAATGTCAGGCTATGGACAGAAACTACTCATGTGTCGATATACTGGTTTTAAAAATAAAACAAAAATTAGTCTGTTAAGACCAATTTGTTCTTTTGCAGGAGTTTTGTACATTACACATGTAATTTTGCAAGAATGAAATTCTTGTAAAATCTGTTTTATGGCAGTTGGCTTCCTTTAGAAATGTTTTTGATCTGGTTTTATAAATGGTGTTAAGTATAAATGCAACATGTATAGGACTGAAACACACTTGTGAAAGTTTCAGGGAGATTTTGGTTTTGAAGAACTATTTGAATACTCTTCTCAGTCCTCATGTGAATTTATCTGCAAATCTGTAGTGAAATGTGCCATCTCCCTGTGAACTCAGAGTGGCTGTAGGGAGGACTGATCAGTGCTTTGTTTATATCCATGTACTGGAATGGTCTGTTCCACCACTGATCAAACCATGGCTTGTGGTGAGGCTGGAGCAGGAGCTGGGCTTTACAGGAGCTCTGCACTGGGATTTGAATCTCTGTATGACCACGTGCAGCTTAGACATCTTCCAGTGTGTTGAGTGACCTCTTTTGTAGCAACCTGGATACCTGAGCTCCAGGCAGGAATTGCAGACTTGGACAGTGTGTGTTTATATCAGGAGCCAAATAAATATTGCTAAAGATAGTTTACTTTCTTAACTTTATTTTATTTTCCATTGAATTCTATGACCTTTTTTTTTGGTTTTCAAGGATCATAATTTCAGGATTAAATGCTGTTTCCTGGAAGAATTTGATGAAATAACAGAAACGGACTCATTTTTCATGACTTAACTTTCAGTGTGGTCTTTTTTAATAAATTCTCAATATACCAATGAAATAAAATTTCTTGCCTAAAAAAAAAAAAAAAGAAAATTCAGGCATGAAGCTGGCAAAAGACACATTATCACATCATTAATGAGTTATTTGGGGGAAAAAAAATCCCCACAGTTTCTACAGCATGCCTAAGTGGATCATGGAAAAGTTGAAGTTGAAAAGGATCTCCAGTGGTCATCTGACCCAACCAGCCTTTTCAAAGCAGGATCAGTTATAACAAGTTGCTCAGAACTGTTTCCAGTTGTGTTTTTTAATATCTCCAAGGATGGAGAACTACATCCTTAGCAACTTGTTCCAGCAGTTGACCACCCTCAAAAAAAAAAAATCAATTTTTTTTTGTTATGTTTAAGTGAAATTTCCTGTATTTGAGTCCATGCCCGTTGTGTCACCAGATGGCTCCAGTTGGGTTTTGGCTTTTTTGGGCAATGTCTCTCTGTTCCTCCTGGATTACCTGTGCTAATTCCACCTCTGCTATGCTTTGAGCAACCTGGTCTGGTGGAAGGTGTTGGAATGAGATGGCCTTTAAGGTCCCTTCCAGCCCCAACCATTCTGTGATTCTCTGATTCTAATACTATGATTCCTTTTGTTTGCAGTAAGTTAGGAGCTCCTTGTGCATCCAAACAGACTTTCTGCCTCCTTTGCTTGAGTATCTGCTCATTGTGATGGACCATTCTTGGGCTTGGAGGAGGTGATCAGCCGGGATCCCTGGATCCCTCATCTCTCCAGGTCTGCACCCCTTGGATGCCTCTCCGGCCTTGAGTCCTTAAAAAAAAACCCTGTGATCATTGTCCTCACATTCTGTTTTTTGTCCCCACTGTATTTTTAGTTTTTCATTTAAAGCTGGCAAGGTTTAAGCTTTCCTTGAAAAAATTTTTTTTCCAATCGCAAATAAGTTTCATGTTAAATCTGTATTGTAAAACTAGTGCTGTTTCCCAAGCCTTGGGGATATCCTGCCTGTGGAATTACGGGTTTATGCTGCGACTCTGCAGACGTGATTATTACCAATAGTAGGAATAATTGCACTGCTTGGCTGGTTCGTGGTCAGGCACTGTCTGATACCTCGATGTGGATCAGTTAAAATAAAAAATAAGAGCAGAAAATAGCTGAAATACGTGTAGGCAATGCTCCTGACTGGCAGTTTTGTTTTCTATAGTTGTGCGGGTATAATGAGATTTAATCGACAATAAATTCTGCAAGGTAAAAACTCCTGGATTTTTTCCTAGTTACTAAAAGAGGATGATGTGAAGGGAGCATTATACAATTATATTGTAAATTTTGAAGCAGGTTTTTCCCCACCCCTTTCAGAAATACTGTATATAAACAGAAGTAAATAGAGGGCAGCATATGTTCCATTTGAAGTTAGTTTAGATTAAGAAACTACTTGGCAATAGAATTGATGATTAGGTGAACATTAACGTTTTTATTGCCTTATATTGTTTAATGATTTTTCTTACTTTTAAGAAGTGACCCAATGTTTTCCCTCATCCCTTTGACAGATCTTCAGTTCATGGGCTTAGAACAGGATGTTGCTCCTGTGTCATGTTTCCCTCCTCCCCAGCTGTGACTGTGTGTAATGATCTATCATGAACACATGCCTGGAAAACTTTAAATGTTGAGGTTTCCTTTGCACTCAGAAACTTAGAGAATATAGGGAATTAATTGTAGCTGGAAGTAGGATTAATGCTAGTTAGGAAAGCTGTTGACTGTTAGTATGTAATATCGAACGTGTCATTTTTCATTGACCAGTTTTCATTTTTGCATACTACTTGAGTGACAATTAAACCTTGGTCATTACTATGATGGGGTAAATGAGGTTTTGGAAGACAATATTTACTTCCATATAAATCGTAGGTTTTAATCCCAGTTAGTACTGTCCTTACTGGCAAAGCAGGTGATAGTCACAGCTGACTGTGGCCAGGAGAGAAATAGCATTCCCAGTGGGGGAACACTAGTGATAAAAGCAAAGTTAAAATACCTTCTGATTGAAGTAGGGATTATTAAACGTTTGGGTTGGAGAAGTTGAGGAAGTGTTCACAGGGAGAAGGAAAAGAAATGAATCTGTACAAATACAAGCCCAAAATCTCAAGATGTTTATAAACTGTCACTTGGGCTGCATAAATTGAGAGAAAACTTTGGAGCAAAACTGAGCAGCATTTATACGCTTATCTTTCCTTTCTTTTCGGTTCCCCTGCTTATTTGCTTTTCAAGTTTCTTTCCTGTATTTAGTTTTTCAGGGAAAAGTGGTAACCAACCATGGATCCTGTTGCTGTGGGTCCTGTGATCATGATGAGATGGACACTGGCTTACCTGAGCAGTGCTCAGTGTCCTGGTAATGTTACTGGAGGTATTTAGAGGATACTGGGTTTTTCTTCACTTCACTACGCAGTTTAGTGTTGAAACAATGCAAAAATCTGTATGAGGAAAGCTTCTGATGGCTTGGATTATCCATGAAACTTCCTTGGAGTTTCCAAGTGAACACTTGAATTCAAAACGCTGACAGAAAATGTGGCACTATATGTAAAATCAGATCTGAAAATAGTTCTGTCAAAACTTAAGGGTAAGAAATAAGAAGAGCACAAGTAAGTTAGTCACTGTACAGCTTCAATAATTTAGAGTCAGTTTAGTTCTGGAATAGTTTCAATCTCATAGTTTTTCAAGCATTTGCTTTTTCTGAGGAATCCTGTAGCTGTAGTTCTACCAAGAGTAACAGAAGGAACTTTAATTATGAATTTCTATAAGATGTTTCATGTTTATTGCTCTTATTGTTACAGAATTCCCCCTTGGTAAGGGATTTCCCCTCTGTTTCTGAAGAGGATTTGGGAAGAGGAAACTGAGATGGAAAATAGTGATGCCACAGATAATCAGGAAGGGAAGACAGCAGCTAATAAACTAAAAGAGATGTTCTTGTCAAAATAAATGTAGTAACAAGTAACCATCTTTTTAATCTTCATTTTTGTGGTGTTATACTAGTCAGTGTTTTAAAAGTAATGTGAAAATCTCAGTTACACATGAATATTTAACTGATATGTGAGCTCTAAAGCTTTGGTTTGTGATTTGTCTCCAAAAATGGTACTTTGAAAGAAAGTATTCTGAAGTGGCAGATCACAAATATGCGTTAAAGCTTAAAATGTTTTTCTTTGCCCTTAGTGGTGTTTTCTCATCAGTTTTTTATATATCATTAGCTGTTTTTGCTAGGGTTAATTCAATTTAACGTTTGGATAGAACAGTTCTCTCAGAAATAAAAGCCACTTTCTCGTGGCTCTTTTTTTTTTCTTCTTATTTTAAAAGTAATTTTAAGATTCTATGACATGTCGATGCCATGTGAGAGGAGAGACTGCTGTTTTGTAGGTTCATGTAAGCACAAGTGGGAGGCTAAACGAGGTCAATCACATCAACACTGGCTCCTGCTGTAGTTGGCATAACCTGCTCCACAAGTATAGAGAGTAAGGAGAAATAATTTAGGTTAGATTAAAAGTAAATCAGGTTTTGTTTTTCAGTTTCTCACTTTTAAACCCTGTGTTGATACAATGGAGTGCTAATCTATCCTTTATTAACAGTTCTTTTCTAATATCTGGAAGGACTCTTGTATTTAGTATGGAGAAGTCTGTTTAAAGTATTTTTCCAAAACTGGAGTGCTAAAACTGTGAGCTGTTGGCATTGGAATTAGTTGCTTGTTTAATTCTGTGGCAGTTTTCAGACCTGTGGAGTGTCCTGCTCTCAGTGTGATGCTCATCCAGCCCTCCTTTAACTCGTCCCCACCAAGTGGGTTCCAACACCTGAGGCCTTTGCAGAGTGATGCTGTTGCTTCTCCTTTGCCCACAGGCTGTTGCACTGAAGGAAAGGTATCCCTTTGGTGCCTTTTCCAGTCGTTGGTGTCCCACCACAGTCCTCTCCTGGCCGTCAGATACGTGTGACTGCAGTGAGGGGCTGTCCTAACCCAGACTGTTGTGATGTGCTGACATGTTTTACAGACTTCACAGCTCAACTGGGACTGGAAGGGAACCCTGGAGATCATCTAATCCAACTACACTGCTAAGGCAGGTTCCCCTGGGGCAGGTTGCACAGGATCACATCCAGGGGTTTTGGATGTCTCCAGACGACACTCCACAACCTCTGTGAGCAGCCTGTGCTCTGTCACCTCCAGAGACATTGCCCCTCCTATTCAGATTAAACTTCCCATGTTTCAGTTTCCCGTTGCCCCTTTTCCTGTTCCTGGGCACCATTGAGGAGAGTCCAGCCCTATCCTCTTCATACCCACCCTTCAAGGAGTATTTATGCTTTCCTCTTTCTCATCTATAGGAGAAAGAAGCTCATATCTGTAAGTATTCTAGATTTGGAATTTTGAACTGGCACATGCACCTGTAATCTTCAAAGGTCGCTTTCTTGGATCTGCAGACTTTTTTTCTTTTTTACAACACACTTGGCAACCAAGCCATTCCTTTGTCTCGTTCATAAATACTCATAATCTCACTTGAGTATATTTAATGAATAGAAGATTCTATAGTGTATTGCAGATAGAGAGCTTGAATGCATTTTAACAAATAGGATTACAGTGCAAAAGGATTTTTTATGCTGGTTTGAGATTTAATTACTTTTTTTGTCTACTTCCAAAACACCGTTAACAATTTTTCTTCTTTGTATAGCATACCACGTTCTTCATTCAATTGCTCAATAAAGCATTTACCTGAAGTAATGAATATCAAATGAAAATTTTGTTTGGGAAAGGGAAGGCTTTGTTTCTGTGCTCTGATTTAAATGTGCTGTTTGGTCAGAAAGTGCAATGCAGGAATTCAAAACTCAGTGGTTTGGGACATTTCAGAACTTTAACCAGGCTTGCAGTTTTGTGTTAATTTGTTTGAGTAGCAGACCAGTGTAGACTGGGAAACCCAAAGATTTCTTGGAAGAAGATGAGCTTCAAAACTGAACTCCAAATTTTACCTGTATTAATGACAATAATTATTGCACAGAATTGGAAAAGGTATGTAACTCGAGTTTAAAATGTGTCTTCAGTGCTTTCATAATTTGTTTAAAAAAGATGGTAAATACAGGGGAAAGACCAAATTAAAAGACAAAACATAAGGATAAATGAGCATAAGCATAAGTACACATAAATCAAACGCTGAATTAATCCTGTTTAGAAATACCACTAAATAGCATAAAACAGTAGTAACTGATTACACAAGAATGAGAAAACCTATAAAGTAACTTATATTAAGAACACCTTGTAAGAAAAATTATACCTTACTAATAGGCTTTAATCCTACCTTAAAAGGTAGGATTAGAAATGTAAAGCTTTATTCCCGAGGCATCCAGACTAGGATTGTTAAACTTTGTGCTGGGATCAGCTTAAAGCTTCTTTTAACCTGTTATATCATCTCCGGTGCTGGCCAGCAGTGGATTTCAAGGAAGGGGTACAAGAAAAGGGGAAACATCCAGGGATGCTTCCACAGGATGCTTTCCTAACCTCTACCTACGTGGAGTTCAGACTTCCTGAGCTAGGGCTGTCTTTGTTTTTAGTAGCTCTCCATGAATGGTTCTTCCATGAGTTTATCCAGCTGCTGTTTGAACCTGCTTAAACTTTGAGGAGTAGCTTGCAGCGAGTCCTTTAATTCTGTAAGTCTCCTCTTCCTGCTTATACAGCACAACTTGTGACAGTTATAAAAATTCCCTAATCTTTGGGTAGGAGGAGTGATTGGAAAAGTTAATGGGTTTTATCTGTTATTTCTGTAAGATAGTCTGGTAACAGCAGTTGGTCTATTTGGTGTGCGATAAATAAAGCAACTAAAGCTTGAGTGGGAATAAAAAAATGATTGTTTTGTCCTATGTCAGTGGCTGATGAGTTGCCCAATCTTGGTCAAACTATGTCATTTTTCCATGAGGTTTAATATCCTGGGACTGACTCTTAGTGTGTTAATGCAGGTGAGTGTTTTCTGACCCAGGACTGACTCATGTCCACCTACTTTGAGCAAAGTGCAAAACTTCCTACACTTGTTGATGTAGACATGACTTTATTTCTCCTTTTATGAAGTAGTCATCAAGCTCACATTGAGTAGGCTAAATCCAGGGAATATACTCTGACAACTATGAGTGAAAGTGTTCTGGGAGCCACTTAGTCTTTTGAGACCATGTGAGGAAACTACAGTATGACTCTTGCACTTGGTCTGTGGGTCATCTTATAGATATTTTAAATTATACAAGCCACATTAGCACTTGACTCATGTTTTTAAAAATTGGAGGATGCTGGCAGTAAGCCAAGAAAAAGAACTTAATACTTAGAATACGTTCTGCTTACCTTTTTATATCAATTCCCTAAAAACACCTGTAATGCTCTGACGCTCAGTGTTTATTTTCCAAATGCAATTAGCATAAGAAAATGTACCTTTTGTAACCTGTTCTTTGAACACCACGTACATGCAGAAAAGTACAGCTGTGACCACAGACGAAAACCTTTGACCAATGCCTTGTAAAATTGTTCAGTACCTGTGTACTCCCCCAAATGTAATTCAAGGTGCTGTCTTATCACTCCTTGGCCTTCTGGAATTTGGCTGAATTTTGAGCTAATCACTGGCACAGAATTCCATTTACTTTAATTTAGAAGACAGTGAAATTAAGCAATTTTCTAACTAACCTTTTCTAAAGGTTCAGTATTTGTAATGAGCAGAAGCTTTGGATAAAAGCTTGATTCCCCCCCCCCCCAGCAGAAGTTTCTGCTTGTAATGTGTGAAGTGAGGTAGTTTTGTCCAATTTTTATTTTTAAAGAAGTGAACTTCCTCCAGTTACCTGCCTATAGCAGGCAGTTGGATCCACATGGTCTGTAAAGCTCCTTCCAATCCAAACCATTCTGTGCTTTTGTGTAAGCTCTAGTCTTCATTTTTAGGATTCAAGAAATTAAAATAATTAATTTATCGCTTGCACTATTGGATGACACCTGTTTTTAAGTGAAATAACAGAATTTTCTTTTTCAGCACAGTATTTAGTATGGAGGCCAGAAAACCCTACAAGAAAACAGAATTTGAAATGCTTTGTCACTTAGTAGGAATGGCTGTGTAAAATACACAGTGGAACAAACTGAAATGGCATGACTTTCAGACCTTTGTACTGTTCTGAGCAATGGGTTTCTAAGTTTAGTACCAATATAAGGCTTTTTTTCTTCATTCTTGGGCAGCAGTCATGGTGATTAATGTGGTGATGGATAGCATGGTATCGTGGTAAATTCCTGCATTTTCTCTGTGCGTGGCCCTCTCTGGTGCTGAACTGTGGAAGTGAGAGCTGGGCGAGGTTGTGATGTCTGAGAGGAGCACCTGGAGCCAAAGGCAGGTGGATCTCAGCGTGGAACGTGGTGCAGTGGGATGTGTGTGCCACAGAGACAACTCTGGGGTAGATGTTACAACTTAAGTGTTAGGAAGATAGCTGAGGAGAGGAAGAGGAACCTGAAGTAGGATAACGTGCTGGCAGGTGAACCATAGGAAAGAAAGATAAGGAGGGGAAAAATGGTAAGAGTTACGGAAGTGTAACAACTGGGCTGTGAGAAATCAGTATTGGGCCTGTAGGCAAGACAGGTGCTAAACATGGATGGTACCCGCCAATTCTGTGGATCAAAACAGAAAGGAATAAACTGATTCCCAAGGCTTCTCCATTAATGAACATTCTTTGGACATAAGATTAGTTCTGAGTCTCAATATGTCTTTGCTTTTTTTTTGTTTAAACAGTAGTAGATCCTTCAAATATCCATGTAAAAATCTTCAGAAGCGATAATTGACCTTTCATTTTTGCCTACAGCTGCATTAAATCAAGTGATAGGTGATAATTTCTTGACTCTAAAGATTCCAAAATTGCTCACGATTCATACATACAGGAATTGTTTGCCTTGAGATTAGCATGTGTGTTTATTTATTTAGGTTTTATTTTGAGAAAAAAAATAAGGCAAATTGC